AAACCTTTAATTATCAGGAAGATATCTTATCTATTAAGTCAATACTGCAGAATAGTAGAGAATATGAGAAAGCTATTCTATCACTCCATAAGCACAAGATCATATTCCTAGATCAAATCATCAACTCAACTACGATGATGCTCAAGGAATGAAGAACAATCCAGATTCTTTTCAACAAATGCAAAGGTCCAATTCTCTCTTAGTATAAAAAGATCTGAAAAAAGCTGACAGAGAATCATGACCTTCTAAGAAGGTCATTGCACAGATTAAACTAGACAGGCTACAATATCCAAACTGAAGCTTTCCCAGCTTATCCAGATAGAAGAAAAATATATTGGGCAACCTGCTCTAGCTCTGCAATGGATAAATTGGAAAAGACATCATTCTTGAACAACAAAATTCAATTTGTTCTACACCAGTTGACATACAACTCTACTAGTAACCATACTCTATTCCAACCAGATAGATTATCCCAAGTAAAAGAAGTAAGTATATTACAAGTCCGTCTTCTACCACAACGAAACAAACATAAAAATTTGCAAAAAGGGAAACAAGTCCTCCTACCTGGCAACCCTACAGATTGGCATATAGCTACAAAGCAACAAGTAAGAACTCCACTAATGTTTAGATCAGAAGTGGAAATTTAGATAGAAAACTGAAAAGCCATGCTAATAAGACAAGTTATCCAATCAAATAAATATATAAATGAACTTATAGATATTCTAAATTATAATAGAAGGAGTATAGTTACTCAGTTTACTTTCTATACTGATGGATCATATAAAAAAGGAACAAAAAATAGCAAGCTTGAAATGGGTTTGGCTTGGGTCCTAGTAAAAGACAATAGAGTTGTGAAGCAATTCTCAGCAGAGGCATCAACATGGTCATCAGCAATCAGGACAGAAATATTGACTATTCTAACTGCAATATATATAGCTCCTCGAAATATAACAGTCTCAATATTCTCTGATTGTAATATTGCAGTTAAGACATGGAAGTCCATCAGTGCACAAGTGGAGATATCAACAAGAAGATGGACAAAGACTGCTAATTGACCATTATGGAGTAGAATCAAAAATTTAGTTAAAAAGAAAAATCTTACTTTGGAAATTATAAAAGTTAAAGCCCATGGAATCAATAAGTTCAATAATCAAGTAGATCTACTTGCCAAACAAGCTAGACATGAAAATCCAATAATCTGGCATTAATTATTAGAATTAGGAACAATTCTGACAATAGCCATATGGAGAGAGCATATGATAGATATCAATATTAGAAAATTTGTCAAGACATTCAACAAGAAAAAGATAGGAAAAGATTGGATAACATAGAAAAGGATCCAAGAACTATGGATCAAAAATGACAAAATTATAGACTGGTTGACCTTCTGGAATTAGTTCAATCCATCCAATACCTTTGATACCTCTTTCAAAGATAATAAAGACAAAAGCTTTCTAACTAACCTGACCCATAATGAAATCCCAGTATTACAGATATTGAAGAAAAGGAAACCAGATATTTATATCATAACAACATGTCCAATATGTAAACTTCAAGAAGAAACTTTAGCACACTTGTTTGAATATTCAGTCACTAAAGAAATCAGAGAGGATATATGGAGAAAAGCAAAGAAAAAGATCAACTGATATATTAATAAAGAAATCAAAAACAAAGAAAAAGTCTATCTTGCAATCTATAACTGGACAAGTAAATGGATAAACGAGATTCAGCGATTTGATAAAAGCCTTTTCAACACTATTTATGGATATATATAAGAGAACAAAACCACTTTCTTGAAGAATTATCTCAAAGTATAACTCAAAATTCCCCTGATAGTTATATAAAGCATAATTGGTAAGCTTTGTTATAAAATGAGGAAAAATTTAAAGAAGAACATATAAAATAGCTGCTGCAAAAAAGTTATAGAGTGGGAAAAGAAACAGAATATTACTGAAAAGAATAAACAAATTAAAAGATATAGGTACCGATCCATCATGCAGGTTATACAAGAACAGGAAGAAGAACCCACACTTGTAGAAGATATGGAACAAGAAGTCTTTGAAAGAAAGGAGGAAACGAAATATATAGAAATCATCAAGAATTGGATTTGTTATGGAAGAAAATGGTTTGGTTTTTAACTGCAGTTGGAATTTAGAATGATCTACAGTAATAATCTATAGGCAATGATTTTATTGACTAGAGGATTTATCCAAGTCAGTAAAGGAGCGAAATATCATTCCCTAAGTTGCATCTAGAGAAATAGTTTTTCAACAACAAGTAAGTTAGTATGTGAAAGTCAAAATAATTTATAAATATCTGATATATATACAATAAAGACAAGCCATGCTGACCTGACTGCGGGTTAAAAAAATAAAAAATAAAAAATAAAATCAAGAAGATTACAATAATATTTTGATAATTGATAAAGAAAAAATAAGAGAAATAAAAATATAGATAACAAAGTTTATAAAAAAGATATCAAAAAAAATCAAGGCATAGTTTTTTTATAGAGATAGTCAAAAAAATTTTATTAATAGAAACTGAAAAATTAAAATATAAATAAAGAAAAATAGGAACATTAGTCAAAAAATAAATATTTTATTATCAAAAAATTTTTTTAAATTATTTTAAGAAAAAAGTATAGAACAAATAATATAAATAAATAATAAAATAAAAAAAAGTTTAAGGAATTTTTTGAAAAGATAAGATTAAAAAATTCACAAAGTTCTATTTAATAAGAAAAAAAAGTCTAAGAATTGAAAAAAAGATAATAAAAGAAAAATATCTAGGTAAAAACTTAACTATGATAATAATTATAGGGATTAAAAATAATATAAAATGGTTTGATTTTAAACTTAATCAGAACTTTAATTAATAATCTGTAGTAGTGAACTGCAAGCAATAATATTTAACCTGTGGATTGATAGCGTAGTGGTAATGCTCCCAGGTCACCAAGTACTGTTTCCGAGTTCAATATCACTGCAAGGCAGTACCACTTAAAGCCTAGGTGATACAAGAAGATCCCATCTGTTTCATGATGATGATCTAACCATTTCTGGTCAAGACCCCGTCTGATCACGGGGTATTCAAAGATCACAAGATGCTTCAATTGGTTTTAGTGCTGAAGCCACCTTGTCACAAGACAGGTTCTTTCAAGCTCCTGTAGATAGGTTGAAGATCTGCACGTCGTAATCAAGGAAGCTAGTGGAGCCTAGGCACGTTAGTTAGAAAAAGGTTTCTATCAAAAATCAAAATCCATCCAAGACTCCACGTGGCCACTCCATAGGCAGGCTGTAATAGGTCATGTAAAAAGAGTACTCTGGCAGGACGAGATGACATCTAAGACTTCACATGGGTATTCCGTAGGCATACTGTAATAAGTACTATAAAAAGAATATCTGACAGGACGAGATATGAAAGGGGTCCTGTGTTACAGACCCCGAGCCTGTAACACAGATGTAGGTGGTGGATAGGAGGGCTTTCTCCGGTAACAAGCCATGGGGGTACACAAGGTGTTACAATCAGGTTTATAGTTATAATGATAGGATAGGTTTAAGCCTGCTATAGTTAGTATAAGATTGATTATAGAATTGCCCTGTAATTAAATAGCTGACTAATATGTAAGGTCTATTCTATCAACTTCAATAAACTGGACTTCGTTATCCTCTTTAAAAAAAAAAGCAATAATATTTATAGTAAAAGGGTGTTAATTCAAATTATAAATAAAATAACAAATCATTTTCAAAGTTGTATTTAGAATTTGAAAAAAAACTAAAATAAGTGAGTTAGTATTTTAACTTTAGTGATATTATAAATGGTATAGTTTACATTATGTTTAATAAAATATAACTAATCTGATAATATGTATAAAAAAAATTTTTTTTAATTTTTAAAAATTATTTTATTATTTAAATTTAATAATTTTTAAATTAAAAATAATTTTATAATAAGTATATTATTTTTTTTATTTTTAAAATTTCATCAATTTAAAAACTTAAAAAATTCAATAATATATTTAAATAAATAAATTTTTATATAATAAATATTATAAAAATCTTTAGATTTGAATAATATATTATAAATTATAATAATAAAAACTAGTTAAAAATTTTTTTTAATTTAAATATAAACTATTATATATTTTCAAATATAAAAAAAAATCATACTTTTTTTTATATTAAATCCTACCTTAATCATGAATTTTAGTATTAATTTTATTGACAAGAATTGATGGGTTTTTAAATAAAGTTTACACTTTTTTTAATGCTCTGAATAAATCCATATTACCAGAAGTTTACAAATGTAGAAGCATCAATGTATATAAAATTTATAACAATAAGAGGGAAAATAAAAAGGGACAGTCAGTTCCAGAAAACTGCTTAGTAAAATGGGGATGAAGAAATTGATCAAATGTTCTAAGGGGTTAATAAAAGGGTAATGGATCTGAAAATGGGTTGGGAAGAAAATAACAGGATTGGAAGTAAGTTGGTGGATCATCCTGATCCATCATGCAAGATAGCCATGATAGAATCGACCCGAATGTTTTGCAGGGATTCACTTCCATGATGATAGGAGGTAAAAGGGGTGCAATGTTCATATCATTTAAGTATGCGACTTCATTGAGTTGCTCGCTTGACCATCTGAATAGCAATATAAAATAAGCTACCGTTTTTTTGACAAAAGGTATACAACTGTTGTATGAAAATACCTCTCGAGCCCATCGCGTGACTTCTCTTGTTCCGTTTGGTAAAGACCTATTATTTCGACCTTCTTTCAACACCTGTGTAACACAATCATATTGGAACCATTGTTTAATCTGACCATTTTGGAAAGCTTCCGCTAAATCACTAGATTAAATCAAGGGGTTAGTAACCATTTAGCGTTAAAGGAGAAGATTCATTAATTAACCAACCCGATAAGACCAATCATGCTACGAATGATGATTTCAGTCTTCTCGTGATCATTCCAAGTCATATTAAGGAAATTAAAGATTTGCTCGATGTATCGCAAAAGTAAATCGGCTGAAAAATAAACAAACGTGAAATAACTAAATTTATGCTTATCGCAAATACTTTTTCTTGATCAAATGTCATTCGAATATATAGCAAACCTTTTTCGCCAGTCTTCAAGCCCTGCACAATACCAACATATGCCTCCAGTATTCCTTCTCTCAGCGCAATAACATAATCTATCATATCGTAGTTTGTCTATAAAAAAAAAAGATAGCTTATTTAATATAAACAAATATAAATATATATAATATACGAGTTGGCAATAAACCACATACACCATCTGTAGCGCGCATATTGCTTGCTTGCGCGAGGACCATCATCACTACTTCTAGATATACCTCAAACCTTCCACTTATGGCAAGTGCGATATCGCCAAAGCACGATAAAATCGCAGGCTTGACGTTTCGATTCAAGACTGGACTCTACAAGGAAGTAGCCACCAATATAATTGTGAATAGTTAAAAAATTAAAAGTCGTTTAATCAACATATAGCCTACAGTGCAGACCTGAAGATTTTGTAACAGAACATTCATAAAAGTATCACAGTATGGTAATGACTGTTCTTGAAGAGCACGGCATATATCGCCAATTAACCCAACGGCAATAGAGCAAAGTTGATATTCTTCGTGATTGGAAAGCGCCGCATAAAGGAATGGAGCGAATGCTTCGAGGTATCTGACGAAGTCAGCCTCCATAGCTGGAGAAGAAAATTTTTCAGTTTTTTTTTTAAATAACCGAGACTTCAAATATAGTGTTACACAACACACCAGTGGTAACGGCGCCCACGGCAAGAAACCCATCCTCAAGAGTAGTAGAATGTTTTGTCGCGGTGGTAAACAAGGATAACAGTACAGTCATTATTCGATCGGCAAAAGGACCAACTTCTGTCCTTAGTTTGCGTATAATACTCTAATGTCATAGTAATTAATAGAAGTCTAAACAAACAAGTACAAACATAAATAAGTGATTGCGGATTCATACAGTTAAGACACTACAAAGATTCGACTGAAGTTCGGAGTGAGCCAGACGTTCATCGCTTCCAACTATTTGGTTCTAGAGATAACAATAAATTTCATCAATAAACGAGATTATAGCGAGAATAATTAATTCAAGAAGATTAGTAGTACCTGTGCTTGGATTGTAGCCTCGAGCCTGTCAAGTATGGTAACGGTCAATTTCTGAATAGTTTGGAAACAATCCTGTCAGAAGTGAATGGTAATAATAATTAGTGATACATTGGGTCATCATTGAAAAGAATCTAGCTTTTTTTTTTTATGGACGACTACCAATGCAGCTCCTTGAACAAGGATAGAAATGCATTCGTAGGCAGACGTTCGAGAATTAGATTCGTTGGTTGATCTTTAATAAATAAAAAACAAATTTCAACAAAGATTAGAACTATGCGATGCATTTAAAGAAACCTTAATAAGTATAATAAATACCTTTCGGTCGTCTCAAGTAGAGCAGTGATAATACCTTCAAAGTAAGGAGACAAATGATATGTGGGCTGAGAGACCTCCTTGCTACCAAATTGGTCAGATAGACTCATCAAGGCCTAAATAAATTTAAAGATTACGTAATGATGTCGTTTAAATAAAACAAAAGGCCATTTACGCAAAATAAGGAACCCATCAGTTACCCAACAACAATTAGAAACGATGCGTGGAGAATCCTTCAATCCATACACAAGCGCAGTTACAAGGGGACGAAGATGAACGTCCGGTTTAATACATTCAATCAACAATTCCGAAACACGACCAAGAGTCCAAGCTGTGGTATCTTTTACTTGAGGAGATGGGTCGCGCATCATTTCTATCAACACCGGTAAAGCTTGATTCACAAGATTCGTCAATAATTTGTGTTCTGGGCCTTCCAGGATTGACCCAAAGGCCATAACAGCAGCCTCTCTAAACCTCCAATCAGTATGGCGAATGTGATTCTCCACGAACGGAATCACAGGTGCAACGACGGCATCTTCGACGCACTGTGCCAAGAGGGCCAAACAAGTGCCCGCAGCCATTGAAACATTCCAATCATCTTCATCGGCTTCGTCATCCTAATAGTGGTAAATGAATTGATTGAACCGAACCCTCGTGACACGTGAATTAGAAAAAAATTATGTACTTGTTTTGTGAGAAGCCAGAGTAAAACAGGCAGTATCTCGGGTAAGGCAGCTTTTGCAAAATTATGACTTAAACGATCAGGTTGCTCTCCGGTTTCTTGGGCCTTTATTTGAGAAAAATTAATACGTAATATTTTCTCCTCTGTCGTCAAAAATCAATAAATAGAATATCATACCTCTGCAGCTTCACTCATTAACTCGAGCTCTTCATCGCAGACAGTCGACCAAAATTCAACAGCTTGTAATGCCACCCTCTCGTCCTCGTGTTTCATACCGAGGACGGTTAACTTTAATTATCGAAAATTGAATTTAAGAAGTAACCTTATGCATCAGCAAACAAAGGTGATACTATACGTACACCGAATAAGGCCTTTTCCATATAAAACCTCATCTTGTCATAATAGATTTGCATTATCCTAACCAAACACTCAAATGCGGCGACCTGTACGTTGACCTCAGAACTTTGTGTAGCCTCGCATACAACTTGCATAATGTAATTACGCTCACCCTAACGTAAATAATAAAAAGTCCATTAAGGTCGTACATAGATTGCTACTACTGACCATTACATAGATATATAATATGACAAACCTCTCGGTCGAAATTTTCGCGAATGAATTCTAAAGAATTGTATAGAGCATCTATCGCTGCCTTTCTTACTTCTTGACTGACATTCGTGACAAGAAAAGGGATAATCATTAAAAACATACATAAGGAACCAAAATTAGTGTAATTATGTAAAGTTTACTTTGGTTCTTCTTTCCTGGCCCCCGACACAACGGCAGTGAGAATCGCACCAGATTGTGCCGCTAAAATTTCCGCATCCTTAAAAAAAAAAAAAAAAACAATAACGCAGTTATCAAGGAGAAGCAGATCAAATAGATTCATGATAAAGGTCGTCTACTTACGATCGATTCGCAAACAAAACCAATAGCTGTCAACGTTGCTATCTTAAGTTGACTATTATCAGTGGTAGTAACGTTTTCTAAAAGATTCTTCATTAAATCGGTCCATTGCCCCGCGGGAAGTTCAATGGCAGCAATTGCAGAGACGACCTAAATTTCATTTGTGGACAAAGGCAATGTGAGAAACAAAAAAAAAAAATTTTTTTTTTTTGTGTTTTATTGTCAGAATCACGTACTTGAGCGGCAGTAGAAGCAGCTCTCTGGTCGCTAGAACCCAAAGTTGCCAAAACCTTATTCAATCAAATTAATTTAAGTTAATTTAATATAAGATTACGACGAGACGATGAATCACAAATCAAAGGTCACAACAACAACCATCTGTTTAATTTGTTGCCTTGTTTCATCATCCATATTTAACCACCGCTGCGTAATCTCGTTTCTCCTTGAAGCCTCCTGTTGATGACAAATTGAGTTCAATGTTTTACACCACGGAAAAATTCCAATCAACAACCACCACTTTTAAATATCATATGTTTGAAACATTTACCGAGGAGACTAACGAATTCTTTAGAGCCAATCCAGCCGAATTTCTGATATATGTTGCGGCTTGCTCATTGTGGAGCTCCGTGCAGAGCATGCTCACATAGGCCGGCTGATTTCATGAAATCAAAACATTAGAGTTGCAAAGCGCAATAATTATTAAAGGAAAAGAGAATCGACGCGTTATATATTCTTTGGTCACAAATGAATTTGAAAAATAGTTACATAGTTGCTTTGCTGCGCTTGCTCGAGCTGCCTGGAAGCATCTTCGCGAAGTTGCTGGTCTTAAAAAAAGTGTGTTCAGTGTCGCAAAAGCAAGTTAGCAATTTCTCTATATTTGATACAGATGTGGAACCGCAGCCTTCTACCCTTCCACCAATCTAAAAGTTGCGTGATACAAGTTTGGAAGTGCAAATAACCTACCACCAGAGAGTGTGTTTGCAAGAAGTTCCGCAATGCTGAGCATGATAAAGAGTACAACTGCTGTAACGTAAATTAAGAAAAAAAAATTTTTTAATCGTGGAATTTAAGAGATACAGAGTCTGATCTGTTGCTAAACAAAGAGACTGAACGTAATAGATGGCTACTTTATACCCCACAAACTTATTTAACAAGGTCGTGCAAAATGCGGCAAACTTTACAATATCAGGTTGCGGGTTGAGATTGCCTGGCGAACAAACTTTTGTTCTGTGTTTTTCAAATTTTTTCGCGTTAAACAAAAGAACCTTTTTTTTGTAAATTGTCATACGACGTGCAAAGCAACTCTGAAAACAATAAAATCGGGATGTGGATCATCAAACTGATTACGTACACGTACCGAACTTTTTCTTTGTCACGTTCACGTTGATTAAGGTTGTAACACGATGGGATCTATAAGCTTAAAAATTAATGATACAACCAACCACTATAATGGATACCCGAAATTACCTGGCTATCGGGTCGGAGAATGCGAATACATGGATTTGGAATAAATTGCTGAACTTGGCCAATGAAAAAATTTTTGTACTGGAATTCATAAATTGCTTTTAGAAATATTCGATCGATCCTTCTCACCCTTGTTTCTATCAAATTGCACAGGTAATAAACGATATATCGATCCATCCATCAGCTTCTAGAGACTTCTTTCTTGTCATTTACTCGAATTAACTTATCACTTGTGATATTTAACTTGAAGATAGACACTCTGTTAATAATGAGGGCCAAGTGGAAGAAAAAAAGGACTAGACGTCTTAAGCGTAAAAGAAGAAAAATGCGCGCTCGTTCAAAGGTAGAAAGTCTATATATTTATATATGCATATATGCATTAACAACCAGCATCCCCCCAAAAAGACATTCTGACACCTCTTTCTGTAATAGTGACCTTAGCGTGACCTTAAGCAGAGTCGACATCATTTAGTCGCAAGCGAATATGTTATTTGCATAGGCTCTGCTTATTTTATTAATAAAAGAAAATTTCAATTCTCATATTTCAATTTTCTTCTAGTAAGAAAGTCTTTGAGTGACTCATTTATTATTGTTCTTATGTTGCTGATAAAGATATATTTTCGAACATTGGAAGAGGTCGATTCATAACTGATGCCACGTACTTTTTTTGTATTAAAGAATTTTTTCATTGATGTCCTTTGAAGGAAATACAAAGAGTAAATAAAAAATTTAAAGGAAAATTTTTATTTTTATTATTTTAATATTTAATTATTATGTCTATTGAATTATGTAGTCACGTTTCTTTTTTCAAAAGGTTTTAGAGCTTCGCTTTCGAACAATGTTTGATAGAACGACATTTTATCGGATAACGAATAGGAAGGATTTTGTCCAACAATGGTTTTAATAATTTTCATATGACTCACGATTGTGTCCTTTATATCTTTTCTTTGATCTAAGGTCGTCGTATCTCCATTCCGGGCTACAATTATGTCTTCAGATGCAGGTAAATATCTTTCGTAATCACCTCCCTGAGACTCTAACATCAATGCCGTCTCTTCGTCCTCTCGGTTCTTTGAATAATTGTTCAAACTGTTGTTGATCTGGGAAGTCATAAAGTCAGCCCAATCGATATCTTCTGTGACAAAATCTTTCGACTGCAATTTCTTGGACCGATCAAATTGTCGAGGTCTCACACCTTTGAAAAATTTTGTCTGCTGCCTGAAATTATCACTAGTATTTCTAGATCGGCCACCTGAATATGATGAATTCAGGATGTTTCTCTTTCGTTGCGGATCTGATAGATGACGTTGTCGTTCTCTTCCTTGTGACTGCCTTTCTCTTAATTCCTCTCTATACGGTTCCGCTATTGGCTCGGATATACTTTGAAAATGCTTTCGGTCCTCTAATGCATCATCGAATTGAGCAGGTTCAAAATCTACAGTTTTTGGTTGACTTTCCCGCGGTTTTTGACCTTCTACTTCTTTTGCCCAAAGCCTCTCGCTTAACGAAAAGCTTTTTCCACCCAATGAAACCGTCCCCCCTCCACCACGCCCACGTCCAGAGGGACCAGAAGAGAAGTTAGAATTCTGTACAAAGTTCGAAGACGTTAAAATTGAAGTTAAATGGTTTCCATTTGTGCGTTGTCGAAAAGGACGAAACATTTTTTTTAGATGCACTGCGTGTTCGCAGATCAAATAACTGTGTAGTACATAATAATTACTGACTAGTTTCACAGGCTACATACTAAATGAGTTGAAATAAGCATCGAGTCTTTCTTTTCCACTTAATATTACTGTTTTCGCACGGGTTGTCCTGGTTTTTTCTCCAAACCATGGAACAACAACAAAATTGTGTTTTAGTGGATAAATTTGCAATCTTTGTACAGATCCTCTTGGCCGCTATCGCGTTTTCCACACTTATTTATAAGAGACACAGAGAACGACCACAGAGACCATTATCCATATGGTACCGTAAATCGATCGAACAGTTCATAAATTTCACGACGACAGTCTGTTTTAACTCCTTATTTTTTCTTTTATAAAAAGGGCTTACGATGTCAGCAAACAAATAATTGGTGCTATCATGATACATGGCTTAAATATTCTAGCCTCGTATATTCCAGGCTTTTCCAAGGAAGGATTAGACACAAATCCTTGTGTGTGGTTAGTATACCTCATCGATCTTGCGCATTATATTATCTGGGTTTTTACTTTTTTTTTTTCAGGTATTTTCTTAATATACTAGTAGATTGTACAGTAGGTGTATTCTTGTTGTACCTTATTTTTAAGGCTGTACAATCTCTAGTGATTTCTGTCGGAATTGATGGTAATTATGAAGAATCATAATCAACGTTTCTACTTTCTCGATTTTCATTACGTCAACCTTCTTTATCGCCCTTTTAGGCATGAAAAGCGGAGATTATGGTCAGCCACCTAAAGTGAAATGGTGGTTACAACAGACTGTTGCTTTTGTTTTTTGTTTGTTTGTTATGAAAGCTATTGTAATCCTTTTCTTTCGGCTCTTACCATTCCTGTTCGATGTTGGTGAATGGATGTTAGGATGGACTCTACATGACGTGAAACTTCAAGTAGTGTTTGTAATGTTGATTTTTCCCTTGATTATGAACATTGTGCAATTTTGGATTGTTGACCAAGTCATAAAAAAGAAATTGGAGGGAATGAAACTCGAAGATGGGAATAATTCTAGAGATGAGGGCGAAGTATTTTTACCGGTAGATATTAGTGACGATGAAATGAATTATGAGAATTTACCTTCTTACCTGAAGGGTAGTAATGTCAGTCTCTATTCTAATATCAGCGCTAGCGCATCTTTACTTAGGGAAACATTTTCAAACTCATTTCGCGACGAAGACAAAAGTGACAATGATTCGTACATTGAGCTACTACGAAGGACAACACCTACATAATGCAATCAAATTTTTTTTCTGAATAGTTAAAAGAAACACTTTGGTATGTTTCCTCGAAAACATGCTTATCTTAGACTTTATAATCATTAATAACACCTGTTGAATGAAAACCCAATCGTATATAGAAATTCAATTTCAATCTCTTTGTTCTCAGACTTTCAACGAACTTAAAAGATTTTTCGTTTTTTGATCTCTTTGTTGTGCGATTTTTATTTCGCAACTTAATTGTGCTCCTGTTTTAATATAATTTTCGATAGAGTAGAGTATTACTTTAAAGAGATCATCAAAATTTTGATCAAAATTAATTATTTATTACTACTTTATTATAATAGTTATATACAGTGGGGGACAAAAAAAATTGCCTTTTTTTCAAATATATTTAATTTAATAAAGAATTATCTAAATTAAATCTAACTTAAAATATAAATACTTAAATATCTAAAAATTAATTTTACTTAAGATTATTTTATAACTTTTATTATTATTATT